CACCAATGTTCTGCCACATTTTAGTCCAATAGTTTTGCTTTGATGGCGCAAAATCACCTAGGTATCATGTTTGTCGGTTCAATTTGCATTTAGACAACATTGCATTCAAATTGCATTTAGACAACGAACAAGCAATTCAGCATAAACCTTCTCTTGTCATTATGATCGTAACAGTCCTATGCCATCTGTTGTAGGTGTTGCTGTTATTCACGCTGTTCCGTGGTGCTTTGCTGGGTGAGTATTCCCCCACAGCAGTAGAAATGCGGTACTCAATTGCGAACACCAGGGCCCACTTGCACAAAGCGATCTTAGCGCTACGACTATCGTAAGCCTATGTTAAAGTATGGGAGTTACGATCATCTTAGCGCTAAGATCGCTTTGTGCAAGTGGGCCTTGGTGTTATCACTGATTTTCAGTGATCCATTCACATTATTTACACCGCTATTTTATGGAATCTGTTTCGGATAATCGAGACTGTTATTCCCTGGCGGTGACATTTTATATGTACACCTGGAAATTAATTACGCACCACTGAAATAAAAATGTCACAGAATGATACGTTTTGAAAATGAGTACGTTGTATCCATATATTACATAGTATGGCCCTTTTCCCACGTCATGCCATTGCCAAATGCCGGTGTCAACGTGCGTGATGTTGCACGTGAAGCACAATACCTATGACTTGTCTAAAAACATATTGGTCGTGAACATTGCAGGTAAACATTTCTCTACGCAGGCTTGCATGCTCGTTACAAACCATTAACATGACACGCCGTTGATTGTCTGAAGCGTTATTGGAATGCAAATGCAGGAGTGTCTTGTAGGGAAATTGGACGTCAACGCGGACGTCACCATACTGTAATTTAAAGATTAGTGCAGAAATATTAAACAACAATGAAGTTAAGGACAGATCAGCCTCGCACGACATCCATGAGAGAAGATACAGCATTATTAAGACCCGTTAGACGACGTCCATTTGACAACAGAACAGTTTAAAGCACAGTGTCTTCAGCCAGAACCATCAGAAATCGCCTGACAACAGCTGAGTACAAAGCCAGAAGACGAATCAAACGTCCCTTGTTAACTCGGTCGGTCTAATCAACGTTTAATTTAGAATATTGCACTGTGGTGGAAAGTTCATTTACTGATGAACGTCGGTTTCTGTTACACAGGGTAGATGACCGTACACGTCTGGTGTGGTGAGGTGAAATGGGGTTTAACGTCGCATCGAAGATTATTGCACTTATATAGCGACGTGCATGTGTGTGTGTGGCTGCTTGTACTAGTCCGGACTGATGCCGATTTATAGTGCTAGCACACTGAGATACCATGCCGCAGTTTAACATGAATACCCCACTCAGACACAGTAAACTGACTCCGAGCCGACCAGTCCTTGTTTTAGACCCTTAATGCCGAGGGCCAGACAGGGTAACAACAAGTACCATCTTTTAACGTCTTTTGGTATGACGCGGCTGGGGATCGAACCCCGGACCTTCCGCTCTACCATTAAACAACGGAGACGGTCACACACGCGTCTGGAGTCACACAACTTTTAAAAGACCCATCCATTTGGTGGGAGATCGGTATTAGATGTGTTTCATTCACTTGTAAACTTGACTTGATCACTGTGCAGGGTAGGCTGAACGGATACTCAATATCAGTAAGACTGAAGTAACCTGAAGTTACCCAGTTATCCCCCTTTACAACGACCACGCGTGATGATAATGCTCCACCTCACAGATCGCGTAATGTTCTGGAATGCCTACGCAATAATGACATCGAGAATCTTCCTTGGCCAGCAAGAAATCCAGGGCCCGGGATCATGAAACTAACTTAAGATCATATTTTGTCTTAACTCTTAAGATTTAGACTTAAGACCAAATTTTGTCTTAAATCGGGGATCACGAAGCTCAATCTATGAGAATATCCTAAGTCTAAGACAAAAATTGATCTTAAGTCCTAAGACTGCCCCTGAGTACACTTAAGACAACATTCGTGCTTAGCAAAATTTGAGCTAAGACCACTTTCATGATCCCGGGCCCAGATCTTTATCCACAAGAATATCTGTTGGACACTTTAGACCGTCAAGGTCGACAGAGAAACCCATCTGTCCACAATGTACGTGAACGTACTGCTGGTTAGGATGCGGAATGGGCTAGAAAACCTCAACGTCAAGCCAAACGTCTGATTCATGGAATAAGAAGGCGTCTGGCGGCACTCGTTCGTGTGCAGGGTGTTTACACCAAGTATATAAAACGTTTGTTTCTTGAATCTACTTACTTTGATTCAGGACTTGATAGTCTTGTTTGAATCAGTTCAGTATATGTTGTGCGACAAATACAATGTCCCCTTTGAACTTGGCGAACATAACGCCTTTCTACAAAACGCCAGCAAATGAGAGTAAACATCAATGTTCTGATTCAAACTCTTGTTTCGTCATGGTTGATGATAGTAAGCAGTAAACATCATTGATTGCTGTTATCGCGAACGCATTTTGCACTAAACCGCAAGTAAATTGACTCATTTATAAAAATATTGGTGGCGCTTAAATTAATTACCAGGTGTATATATTTGGTGACACATAAATTGGCCAATACGGCACCACAATACATTGTGCCCCGTCATATAACCGTGTCTGTATTCACTGGTCCAAAGAGTGAATCCCATATTTCCCCTGTTAGGTTATTGGTCGTCACTGGCAAAAAGGATTCAGGTGCGATGTTTATGTCATGGGTTGTTTTAAATCAAACATGCTGTGCTGATCTATCCTGTTGTATTTAATTAATCACAATGATTTATCTACAGAGCCACACACATGCATACACCAAGGCAAGGAGTTCCTCATAGTCATGCCCAAGATAATTCCCCCATCAGCATCAAGGACATACCACCTCATCATTCAAGGGCCTCCCACGGCGACCGTCACGGTGATTTCGCCATGGAATCATACTTTCAAGGAGACGATAGGGAAAGACTCGCAGATAACCTTCCACGCTCATGATATCAGAATCAATGCTAACTTCGTAGAAAACCCAGTTCAAAAAGTGGCTTTTCGTGTCTCGTGTCCAGTTCAAGTAAATGTGTATGTTTACAGTGACGGCGCGGACGGATACACTGCATTACATATGCCTTATTCTAGATTAAGTCAAGATTTATCACAGCGCTATGTTATTGCTTCCTACAAGGCTGGGAACGGCTGTAAAGCATACATTGCACTTGCAGCAATCAAAGAACACACCTTGGTAAACGGAACTGTTCGGGTTCAGAACGGAGAAAAGGCGTTCTTTGGCTCTCAACCGCTGGACGACGGACAGTCATTCACGAACATACAACTTGGAGCGCTTGATGTCATGTACATTTGGAGCTACCAGGACTTGACGGGTACCGGTATCCTGGCTGACAAGTATATATCAGTCTTCTCTGGGTTTGACTGCACGTGCCACCCGGTTGGAGGAGACAGACAGTGTCATGGAATAATCACTCAGATGCCCCCCGTTCCTAGATTAAAACGAGAGAATCTACCAGTGCCGGCGTTAGGCTACAGTGATGACACGATCTTTAGAGTCATTGCTATCAAGACCAATACCAGGATTAGGATACCAACAAACAGCCCATTTCATACGACACTGGTAAAGATTGGAGATTATGCAGAAATACACAGTGCTAGTCTGTCGCCTGGCATTATCAGTGGGGAAAAGGAGATATTAGTTATGTCCTATGTTGAAGGAAATGAAGCAGGGTCAGGATTTCTGTCCCTCATGACTTTGGTTCGTCCTGGCTTACAATCCGGAGAGGCATTTCGTGTTTATGCTATTCCATCGTTTGATTCATCAATCCTTATACTTCATCCACTGTCCCCATCCAACACTTACTCCATCATTATCAATGACACCACACTGGTTTCATTCGACACCTTTGATGTCGGCCCAAACTACGTGGTCTTGAGGACAGAGATGGAGGCAGGGTCCCATGTTGTTACTTCCGCCAACATGTCAGCCCGAATCAGTGTGTATGTGTATGGCAGGGGCGACGGGGCGTCTTACAGCTTTATAGGCGCATGCGTCAGGAGAAAAGAAGAAGGTAAGATATATCGGAATGATCATAATCTCGATCTTACATACGGTTGAGCCAAAGATTGTTTTCGAGCGAAGGTGGGAGGAGGTCGGTTTTCAATCTGTTGTGATTGAAAACAAAAGTGATGAGGGAGAAAAACTAATATTTTGCACACCAAAAATGTGAACAAACACAATATGGGACACATTGAATTCGGCTTTTTAATCCAGTGTCAGTTGTTAAGCATTTAGAACATCTGCTTCATACATGTACTTGTGTGATAGGAAATCAGAACATTTTAGGGGGACGGGGGAGCAATACATGAGTGACGCACAGGATTGATTGTCACGCGCGGTTTCTGAAAAACATTTCCATCGTTGCCTTTTATATTTATAGCGTAAATTCATTGACATTGACAGAATGGGAATATATAAAAATACAGCCATCTTCGCTCGCATCTGTCTGTACCGTGTACACAATTGTGAATTATAGCATTTAGAACTTTCTTTGAGAGGAATAAAATTGACCCATTGAAATCATTTCCAGCTATTTTGTTTTAGTGGTAGGTTATATATAGTGTGTTATAAACATTCCCTCCAGACACTTACACTTATTCCCTTATTTGTTACAGATTCCTCTTCACTGATCACTCAAAATCTAGAAAACAATACCAGTCCGATGCCAACACCAGCCACAAGTAGTCAACTTCAGGGGTCTAGTCACTTTGCAGCGCCCGTAAAACCTAATTACACCGTACCACCTGCAGATCCAAGTGTATCTTTAGAACCATTGAAACCCAGGGACACATTGACACCTTCACCTCCTGGTGCCACCTTAGCGTCTTCAGATCCTAGTGCATCCTTTCTGCCTTCAGGGCTAAGTGCCACCTCAGCGCATTCAGCGCCCGTGCCCACATTAGCGCCTTTAAAACCAAGCGACTCCTTCGATCATTCAGGGCCTACTGACACCTCAGTTTCTTCAGATCCTAGTGTCACCTTAGCGCCTTCAAGTCCTAGTGTCACCTTAGCGCCTTCAGATCCTAGTGTCACCTTAGCGCCTTCAGATCCTAGTGTCACCTTAGCGCCTTCAGATCCTAGTGTCACCTTAGCGCCTTCAGATCCTAGTGACACCTTAGCGATTTCAGATCCCAGTGACACCTTAGCGCCTTCAGATCCTAGTGTCACCTTAGCGCCTTCAGATCCTAGTGTCACCTTAGCGCCTTCAGATCCTAGTGTCACCTTAGTGCCTTCAGATCCTAGTGTCACCTTAGTGCCTTCAGATCCTAGTGTCACCTTAGCGCCTTCAGATCCTAGTGTCACCTTAGCGCCTTCAGATCCTCGTGTCACCTTTGCTCCTTCAGATCCTAGTGTCACCTTTGCGCCTTCACATCCTAGTGTCACCTTAGCGCCTTCAGATCCTAGTGTCACCTTAGCGCCTTCAGATCCTAGTGTCACCTCAGCGCCTTCAGATCCTAGTGTCACCTTAGCGCCTTCAAGTCCTAGTGTCACCTTAGCGCCTTCAAGTCCTAGTGTCACCTTAGCGATTTCAGATCCTCGTGTCACCTTAGCGATTTCAGATCCTCGTGTCACCTTAGCGCCTTCAAGTCCTAGTGTCACCTTAGCGATTTCAGATCCTCGTGTCACCTTAGCGATTTCAGATCCTAGTGTTACCTTTGCGCCTTCAGATCCTAGTGTTACCTTAGCGATTTCAGATCCCAGTGTCACCTTAGCGCCTTCAGATCCTAGTGTCACGTTTGCGCCTTCAGATCCTAGTGTTACCTTAGCGATTTCAGATCCCAGTGTCACCTTAGCGCCTTCAGATCCTAGTGTCACCTTAGCGCCTTCAGATCCTAATGTCACCTTAGCGCCTTCAGATCTTAGTGTCACCTTTGCGCCTTCAGATCATCGTGTCTCCTTAGCGCCTTCAGATCCCAGTGTCACCTTAGCGTCTTCAGATCCTCGTGTCACCTTTGCGCCTTCAGATCCTAGTGTCACCTTAGCGCCTTCAGATCCCAGTGTCACCTTAGCGTCTTCAGATCCTAGTGTCACCTTTGCGCCTTCAGATCCTCGTGTCACCTTTGCGCCTTCAGATCCTAGCGTCACCTTTGCGCCTTCAGATCCTAGTGTCACCTTAGCGCCTTCAGATCCTAGCGTCACATCTGCGCCTTCAGATCCTAGTGTCACCTTTGCGCCTTCAGATCCTAGTGTCACCTTAGCGCCTTCAGATCCCAGTGTCACCTTAGCGTTTTCAGATCCTAGTGTCACCCTAGCGCCTTCAGATCCTAGTGTCACCTTAGCGCCTTCAGATCTTAGTGCCACCTTAGCGCCTTCAGATCATCGTGTCTCCTTAGCGCCTTCAGATCCCAGTGTCACCTTAGCGTTTTCAGATCCTAGTGTCACCCCAGCGCCTTCAGATCCTAGTGTTACCTTAGCGCCTTCAGATCCTAGTGTCACCTTAGCGCCTTCAGATCCTAGTGTCACCTTAGCGTCTTCAGATCCTAATGTCACCTTAGCGCCTTCAGATCCTAGTGTCACCTTAGCGCCTTTAGATCCTAGTGTCACCTTAGCGCCTTCAGATCCTAGTGTCACCTTAGCGCCTTCAGGTCCTTATGCCACCATAGCAGATTCGTTTCCTAGTACGACATTAGAGCATTCAAAACCTAGCGACTCCCTAGAGCATTCAGGACATTGTGAAACCTCAGAGCCTTCAAAACCAAGCGACTCCCTAATTCCTTCAAGACCTAAAGACACCTCAGAGCCTGCAGAACACAGTGCCACCTTAGCGCCTTCAGACACCAGTGCATCCTCAGTGCCGTCAGAACCCGATGCCAGCTTACTGCCTTTAATACCCAGCGACTCCTTTAACCCTTCAGAACCTTATTTCACCTTGGAGCCATCTGAATCTTATAAAGGCGTGAAGTCTTCGCAACCCGGTGACGAATTGTTTGCACAAACACCGACGCCTTCAGAAAGTATGCTTGTATCTCCAAATGATATTTCTATGACACCCTCATACAATGAGATAATCTTATCTCATGTTAGCTACTTACCAGCAAAGGACACGGGTTATGATGTAAGCTTTTCGTACACCACTATAACGACATCGACATCATCGACTGGTGAACGAACACCGGAAACAGAGACAGGGATGAATCCTTCAACCGTGTTCTCTCCCCTCTCGCCAAGACTTTGTTCATGCCCCTGTCCCGTGGCCGCAAGGCAAGCGAGGAGTGTGCTGCAATCAGTTTTATCTGTGAGAAAGGCAAAACTAACACTGAATACAATGAGTCTATCATCTCAGATTCGAAAGCGTCGCAGCTCGTATGACGGGCGGACCTCGTCAAAGGCGTTAGGCTACGCCGGGATGTTGGTTGTGTTTGTACCCCTGCTTATGGTTTTCTTTGGTGATGCAGCCCTAATTCTTACACATGTGACAGGTAAAACTTAACAACACAGAGCAAATCGTCGAAGATTGATATATTTTCGTACTCCGTCACATGCAAATAGAATACGTTATTTAAAACGGATTTGTATTGATGCATGTATGTTTTGTTTGCTAAATGCATCAAACAGCTGACCCTTGTCCATATTCCCATCGCTCACATGTCCAAGATACAAAACTAGAGGCATATTCCCATCTCACAAATATCCAAGCTACAAAACTAGAGTCATATTCTCATCTCACACACGTCAAAGACACAAAACTGGAGGCAGATTCCCATCTCACACACGTCCAAGACACAAAACTAGAGTTATATTCCCATCTCACACACGTCCAAGATACAAAACTAGAGTTATATTCTCATCTCACACACGTCAAAGACACAAAACTGGAGGCAGATTCCCATCTCACACACGTCCAAGACACAAAACTAGAGTTATATTCCCATCTCACACACGTCCAAGACACAAAACTAGAGTTATATTCCCATCTCACACACGTCCAAGCTACAAAACTAGAGTTATATTCCCATCTCACACACGTCCAAGACACAAAACTAGAGTCATATTCCCATCTCACACACGTCCAAGACACAAAACTAGAGTTATATTCCCATCGCTCACATGTCCAAGACACAAAACTAGAGTTATATTCCCATCTCACAAATGTCCAAGATACAAAACTAGAGGATATATTCCCATCTCACACACGTCCAAGACACAAAACTAGAGTTATATTCCCATCTCACACACGTCCAAGACACAAAACGAGAGTTATATTCCCATCTCACACACGTCCAAGACACAAAACTAGAGTTATATTCACATCTCACACATGTCCACAACACAAAGCTTGAGACATATTCCCATCTCACACACGTCCAAGACACAAAACTAGAGTTATATTCCCATCTTACACACGTCCAAGACCCAAAACTTGAGGCATATTCCCATCGCCCACATGGCCCAGGTGTGGCCAATTCTAGAAACGTATTCCCATCACACAGATGTTCCAGGTTTAACATTAGAGGCATATTCCGATGCATGATGTGCCTTATTCCTAACCCGTACTGAGATAATGTTGAAAGAAGCATGTAGCCTTAATCGGGTCTTGATTTCAACAACGAAAACGCTGTATATATTTTCCCAATTTGTTGATCAACTCCGTGTGTTTCATCATGAATGTGGTGAGGCATATACGACTGTGTGACAAGTACACTGCACATGGCGTTATCCAACTGTCCTTGAGTAGGAAAACAAATTAAACAATGCTAGGTTACAGGTGGAGTTTCACCAAAGTAGATCACTACGGGCTCGAACGTCTAACGCCATAATTGTTAAAAGCGGCGATAAACCAAACCCTCTCACTCACCCACTTACAGTGTAATTGTTTACAACGCTTACGATTGTGATTTACTGTAGTGTTGCAGTGTAGTAGTGTAGTAGTGTAGTAATGTAGGAATGTGTTATACTAAATGGTATAATCGCTATAACTAATAATTATTTGGCTATAATTGCTACTGTCAATGTTTGAAAAATGCACCATCTCCGTTATAGCATGGCTGCCTCACTGTTATAGCCTAGTGTCATCACTATTACAGCCTAGTCATCACTGTTATAGCCGAGTATCATCACTGTTATAACCGAGTATCATCACTGTTATAGCCGAGTATAATCGCTATAACTAATAATTATTTGGCTATAATTGCTGCTGTCAATGTTTGAAAAATGCACCATCTCCGTTATAGCATGGCTGCCTCACTGTTATAGCCTAGTGGCATCACTATTACAGCCTAGTCATCACTGTTATAGCCTAGTGTCATCACTATTACAGCCTAGTCATCACTGTTATAGCCGAGTATCATCACTTTTATAGCCGAGTATCATCACTGTTACAGCCGAATAGCATCACTGTTATAGCCTAGTGTCATCACTATTACAGCCTAGTCATCACTGTTACAGCCGAGCATCATCACAGTTATAGACTAGTGTCATCACTATTACAGCCTTGTAATTACTGTTATAGCCGAGTATCATCACTGTTATAGCCGAGAATCATCACTGTTATAGCCTAGTAGCATCACTGTTATAGCCGTGTATCATTACTGTTGTAGCCGAGTATCATCACTGTTATAGCTTTGTGTTATCACTGTTATAGCTTAGTATCATCACTGTTATAACCGAGTATCATCACTGTTATAGCCTAGTATCATTACTGTTATAGCTTTGTGTTATCACTGTTATAGCTTAGTATCATCACTGTAATAACCGAGTATCATCACTGTTATAGCCTAGTGTCATCACTCTTAAAGCCTATTATCATCACTCTTATAGCCTAGTGTCATCACTGTTGTAGCCTTGAGTCATTACTGTTAATTAAAGCCTTGTGTCATCACTGTTATAGATTAGTGTCATCACTGTTATAGCTTAGTGTCATCACTGTTATAACCTGGTATCATCAGTGTTATGACCTTATACCATTTCATTTTGCGACTCTATTCAATAAGGCGCCTATTTTGTAATCTTTACATTTCAACATGCTTTTACAATTTTGTATGATCGAATACTATTAATAGTCATACCTTTCAAATCTTTTCTGTCCCATGGTATGTACAAACAAGCTTTGCACGGTTCATCCGGTGTCATTTATTGAAATAAGCTGCCACTGGGCTTTTAACGTACTTAAACTCCTTGTTTAGTAAGTGCTAGCCGGTTGTGGATTGAGACATTCCCACGAGAATCATGCACTCTGGAAATAGACACTTAACTACTAATTGCAGAGTTGGTACGGTCGAACTGAGCACTGAAGGTAAATCAGTCCAACAGACACAAGTCTGATATGATGTACCTGCACATGTTGTCGGGGCGTATGAAGAAATGCTCCTGATCAATTCCCATTAGGAGGCACAGTGACTCTGTGCAGAGTTGCGTCCCCTAGGCGTGCCCGGACCTGCAGTATGATCAACCAGTTTGCATTGCTAGGTTTGTCAGAACCATACCAATCCGCTGTCCACTCCCTTGAGGTGAATCTGTGTTATATACTCCAATATTGTTCAATGCGCCGTTAAATTCACTCACTCACTCACTCACTCACTCACTCACTCACTCCGGTCAACGTTCCGGTGCGGCCTGGTCACATTCAGGTGTGGTGTTGTGTGTAGGCGTCGTAAGTTTTGTAAGTTAGGGCTTGTATATACAATTTCTACTGGGTCACATGCTTTTATCAACAAAGAACAAGACCCGGGTGTTTTGTAAACAAGACAAGTCAACACTTTAACATTGTCACAACCTACGCTGGCATTCATGTAAAATGCGTCCCATCGTATTCGAATAATGTCCATTGTCTAACATTCACAACTACTGGAACGCATTTACGTTCATTAAAGTTAATTCTGCTGGTGATATACGTCCGTCACAAATCACTTGGCCAGTGGCCCTGTCCTGTTACAATCATTTCGATATGTATGTTCTGTATCATGTACCGTAAACCCCGTTCATCCGGACTGTGCACTTCCCAGTGAATAGTTCAGATTCACACATATCCGGATTACCGAATCATTGGGACCGAGTCTTAGGTTTGTGCATATAAGTAATGGCAGTTATTGTTGGGTTTCCGGTATTACGGGGTTTCCGGTATTACGGGGTTTCACTGTATGCATGTCTATTTTCTCCATGAGTGAGGGCAAAATAAAAATATCTTTCTATTTGTCTCTCTGCATCTTATATAACAAGTTACCATGCTTTTCACAAAAGGCGACTAACGGGATAGGGTGGTCACGCTCGCTGAGTTGGTTGAAGCATGTCATCGTATCCCAATTGCGTAGATCGATGCTCATGTTTTCAATCACTGGACTGTCTGGTCCAGACTCGATTATTTACAGACCGCCGTCATATAGCTGGAATTATACTGAGTGATAACAAACAAACAAACAAACCACGTGATCAACCAGTATACTACGCTGAAGCTTCGACCCGAGAAGGAATTTACATAAAGACAGTGTGAGTGAATGTAGTTTTACGCCGCTTTTTGCAATATTCCAGCAATATCAGGGTTGGGGACGCATGAAATGGGCTTCACACCATTTACCCATGTGGTGAATCGGACTCGGGAATCAACCACCCCAAAAAGACATTGTGGCTTAACGAAACTTTATCTTAAAATCACGTGTGGATAGAGAGGAAGGCAGTCTCACTTAGCTATCTCGCAACTCCCTTGCATTTTGCAGCATCAGATTGACAGAATTTAACAGAACTGAACAGAACAGAACAGAATTTATAGTACAATAGTACAGATGGTTGAATAATATTTGACATATTGTGAGAGAGCGCTTCAGTTAATATTGGCTTTGGAAGTTTAAACATTTTATCAATATAAAGAGCTAGCTGAAATAAAATGCTGTCGTCATTTGTTGTGAGTAACAATACAAACTTGTGTAGGGTAGGATATTGATAATAATACGAGGTGGCAAATGTCTTATCCTTCAATAAGTATAAACTGGACATATAAATAATGCATGGTATTCACCATCTAAGTCTTCTTTACAGAAATTGCATAGACTGTCAGCAAAGTCATGGTCACTAGACATTCTATATTTATGCGACGTGAATACATGTGTGTGTGTGTGTGTGTGTGTGTGTGTGTGTGTGTGTGTGTGTGTGTGTGTGTGTGTGTGTGTGTGTGTGTGTGTGTGTGTGTGGGTGGGTGGGTGGGTGGGTGGGTGGGTGGGTTGGTCTTATGCCGGTTGTATAGCCCACCTAGATACCATCCCGCAGTTGGAACATGTTTTCCCCACTCAGACAAAGTATACTGACTCCAAGCAGTCCTTGTGTTATCCTCTTAATGCCGAGCGTCTTTAGTATGACGTGGCCGTGGGTCGAACCACCGACATTCTGCTCTGCGAGCCGGCGGTGTGTCAACAACAGAATGAAGCGGGTTTATAAATGGCAACCCAGATTAACGTACAATCCGCAGCGCGGAGACATCAAATATTTCGATCACTCAAAAAATTATTTTTCTGCTTGCTACCCTATCGCACTGTAGATAATATCGCTATGGCCACAGGATCGTCGTGTTACTATAATTTGTCTTCTGCGACACACATACGTCAGTAGTAATACTTTCTTCACACGCAGCTTCCTAACCATCATGTGCGACAGGCCTCTCATTGGTTCTACTCAAATGTACAACTGCTAGTCATTGAACAATGAATATGTCCACTAAAGGTATTAGACCACCAATCGTGTTCACATATATTTTCTGAACTTCTGTTTTGATGCGCTGCCTGAATGTTGATTTAAAACAACCCTTTGAATGGGCTTCCGGTGTAACGCTGAAAAGTGAGGCCCCTTGAAAAGTGACCCAGGGTCAATTTTCACCGCTAAAATGTTGTAATATAGAATTGGGCGACTGCAATGCCCTGTCAAGAAAGCACTGACAAAGTGGGTGGGTGAGTGGGGAACATATTTAACGAGTCACTTTTCAACGAAAACTTGGTCATTATACAATGGGTAGTACACCATTGGATCACTTTTCAACGGAAACTTGGTCATTATACAGTTAGCAGTACTCCATTGGGTCACTTTTCAACGCAAACTTGGTCATTATACAGTGGGTAGTAATCTATTGGGTCACTTTTCAACGGACACTTGGTCATTATACAGTGGGTAGTAATCTATTGGGTCACTTTTCAACGGAAACTTGGTCATTATACAGTGGGCAGTACTCTATTGGGTCACTTTTCAACGGAAACTTGGTCATTATACAGTGGGTAGTACTCTATTGGGTCATTTTTCAACGGAAACTTAGTCATTATACAGTGGGCAGTACTCTATTGGGTCACTCTTCAACGGAAACTTGGTCATTATACAGTGGTTAGTACTCTATTGGGTCACTTTTTCAACGGAAACTTGGTCGTTATACAGTGGGCAGCACTCTATTGGGTCACTTTTCAACGGACACTTGGTCATTATACAGAGAGTAGTAATCTATTGGGTCACTTTTCAACGGGAACTTGGTCATTATACAGTGGGTAGTACTCTATTGGGTCACTTTTCAACGGAAACTTGGTCATTATACAGTGGGCAGCACTCTATTGGGTCACTTTTCAACGGAAACTTGGTCATTATACAGTGGGCAGCACTCTATTGGGTCACTTTTCAACGGAAACTTGGTCATTATACAGTGGGCAGTACTCTATTGGGTCACTTTTCAACGGAAACTTGGTCATTATACAGTGGGCAGAACTCTATTGGGTCACTTTTCAACGGAAACTTGGTCATTATACAGTGGGTAGTACTCTATTGGGTCACTTTTCAACGGAAACTTGGTCGTTATATAGTGGGCAGCACTCTATTGGGTCACTTTTCAACGGACACTTGGTCATTATACAGTGGGTAGTACTCTATTGGGTCACTTTTCAACGGAAACTTGGTCGTTATACAATGGGTAGTACTCCATTTGGTCACTTTTCAACGGAAACTTGGTCATTATACAGTGGGCAGAACTCTATTGGGTCACTTTTCAACGGAAACTTGGTCATTATACAGTGGGTAGTAATCTATTGGGTCACTTTTCAAAGGAAACTTGGTCATTATACAATGGGTAGTACTCCATTTGGTCACTTTTCAACGGAAACTTGGTCATTATACAGTGGGCAGAACTCTATTGGGTCACTTTTCAACGGAAACTTGGTCATTATACAGTGGGTAGTACTCTATTGGGTCACTTTTCAACGGAAACTTGGTCGTTATATAGTGGGCAGCACTCTATTGGGTCACTTTTCAACGGACACTTGGTCATTATACAGTGGGTAGTACTCTATTGGGTCACTTTTCAACGGAAACTTGGTCGTTATACAATGGGTAGTACTCCATTTGGTCACTTTTCAACGGAAACTTGGTCATTATACAGTGGGCAGAACTCTATTGGGTCACTTTTCAACGGAAACTTGGTCATTATACAGTGGGTAGTACTCCATTTGGTCACTTTTCAACGGAAACTTGGTCATTATACAGTGGGCAGAACTCTATTGGGTCACTTTTCAACGGAAACTTGGTCATTATACAGTGGGTAGTACTCTATTGGGTCACTTTTCAACGGAAACATGGTCGTTATATAGTGGGCAGCACTCTATTGGGTCACTTTTCAACGGACACTTGGTCATTATACAGTGGGTAGTACTCTATTGGGTCACTTTTCAACGGAAACTTGGTCGTTATACAATGGGCAGTACTCTATTGGGTCACTTTGCAACGGAAACGTGGTCATTATAGAGTGGGCAGTATTCTATTGGGTCACTTTTCAACGGAAACTTGGTCATTATACAGTGGGTAGTACTCTATTGGGTCACTTTTCAAAGGAAACTTGGTCATTATACAGTGGGTAGTACTCTACTGGGTAACCTTTCAAATACACTTTGAAAATACGCACGTTAGACGTTACATATTTAACCTAAGTAGTTTGTATGTTACATATTGATCCGGGGTATTTTTTTTACCATTACACCGGTCTTAACACCCATGATTTGCCATCTTCGGACCCGCCGATTAATTGTAGGTTGGAAATTCAGATTTGTACAGATTTTTAACTTTTGTCTGTCATCCCTGTTCTTGTTCCTGTTCCAATTCCTCGTGGGTTTCAACAACTTACCCACTAACCCACCCATGGGTTTCAATAACTAACCCACTAACCCACCAACGGGTTTCAATAACTAACCCACTAACCCACCCACTATGTCTGTCTTTGTTTCACTGACAGCAGTTTATTCTCGAATCTTGGTAGCTAAGCACCTCGTATATATTTACTGTAAAAGTAGTCACGTTATCGTCAAGTGCATATCATGATACTAATGAAATATGATCAACACATTTTATTCAAGTATTTATTCATTTTACAAGTCCCAGCTGTGTTTTTTCTTAGTACTAAAACTCTATTGTTTGTATCACACAATGGATAATTAAATTACCTTTCTCGGTTAAAACTAAGGGCATATGTTTGCCAACGAGTGACAAATTCAATCGACGCTTAAAATACGTTTTATCCATGTTTTATTTCTGTCTGTCCGTTGATCATTGTGTCGAATATTCAAACTCTTGTACATAAGTGGACTGCCCTGCATTGACTGTTTTCATCAACAGATAAGCTTAGCATCATAAGAAGTATTGTAAATATTAGTGAACAAATACGTTAGCTTTAATATTTATACATGGTCTTTCATTGAACATGTCCGATTGTTGTCAAAATGAAAATGGTTTCAAAGAGTGAATGCATTCCTTTTGTTGAAATATATTGATTGTTACGAATACGAATATCCGTCTTCGTATTTTCATCTGTTAAATGCTAATTTACTTGGCTTTCCGCTCGCATATTGTTATTATCAATTATTCTCAAAGGAAATGGAAATTTGACGAAATAGTTTGTCAGTGGTGCACAATACATGACGTCATATAGCTTATCTTTTCTGGTTAAATAATATGTTTATCACATACATTTAGCCTCGTGTAAAAAAAACAATTGCACTTTTAATGTCACAAGATGAGATTAACTTTTATTTGACAAGAAAAGTCTAATGTTCTATTTATTTTATATTGTCGTACTCATCTTCATGGCCGTAATCTAGACTGTGACATTGAGTCAGACTGCAGCAGTTTCGACATTATGCCTATTTCACTTGAGTAAAATATCGATTTTATTTTTTCAAACGAATATAATGAGGAGCACAAGGAACCGTATCTCTTAGTTGATTTTAATGTTTGAATTTCAATTGAAAAGTTAGCGATATTCCCAAAAGAAATGCACTGGCGCTTAGTCATCACGTCAAAAAATAATTCTATATTGTTTTATTTCTTAAAATATAATTTTATATATCGAATATTACACAACTGCAGTTGAGTATCTTAGACATTAGATCTTTGAAAATCAATAAATGTGCCTTTTTTGACACAAATTTACATTTCATTTTTACCCTAGTCTTCATCGAACCAATCCTTTTCACACAAAATTACCCCGCCACAGATCACGTTTACAAGCTGTTGCATGAATATGTGATGGTTAAAAAAACCTAATCAAATATAACCACAGTTCTTTCAATTTTCTATTGCATAACAAACGAACCCGGTATACTTTCTTTTGCCTTTCAGTTGATAGTATTTTATCATTAAAACATAACTAATGACTGTTTGATTGGAGTTCTAGAAGAGGGTGAGTAGGTAAGAAAACGAACTACTGTATGGAAAACAACTTCTGGTTTATTGCATACAGCGACGTTTCGATGTAATTTCTTACACCGTTATCAAGCTGGAGTGACAACAACCAAGTGATGAGAGGTATATATGCATAAGATTAACAAGTAAATAACAAGTAACACATAGATGATTGGATGAAGCCAAATGTTCAGTAAGAAAAACAAATAACACACAGATAATGATCACACATCTAATGAAGCCAGATTACAGTAAGAATAAGGATTAAAAGATTAAACAGTTGTGACAACCTATTTGGATCCTAATGAAAACCGTCTATTGCTTGGTTAAATTTTCATAGGCAGATGAGATGTTATACCCGTGATCTGTGTTGATCAAAGGTTTGTGATGGCGGTTTTCTAAAGCTTCTTGGAATCTTCCTTTGGTGAAGTCCTGATGCTTGGTTGAGAGGATTTCGACTTTGCCAAACTGAATTTGATGGCTAGGGAATTGTTGCTGGTGATCTGAGAGGACTGAGTTGTCGTCTGCTTTGGCTGTTGAAGTCTTTACTTCTTTGACGCAGGTATCTGCTGGGCGGGAGGTATCCCCGATGTACGAGTTGCCGTAGTGACATTTAGTCTTATAGATCACTCTTGTCGGGGGTTGCTTGTAGGAGGGAGGGTTGCGCCCATTAGGATGGAGGATGGTACTACGGGATGGGGAGGTAGCGAAGATGGCATCGAAGCCTGATTGGTGCTTTAGTCATCCTTTGATTTGATGAGAGTTCTTGCCAACGTAGTGTAGGGTGAATGTGATGGGGGCGGATTCTGGGCGGGTTGGTTTGGGCTGGAGCGTGGTGGGGATTGTCGTCCTGACTGTAACTGGTTGAGATTGCTGAAAACTTGCTGGCTGCAGATGTTTTAGTTCATGGCCAAGGTCAAGGTTGCTGCAGCAGATGTTCTTGGCACTCTTGGTCAGTCTGGATTTGGTGCCAGTGTTTGGGGGGGTTGCTGGAGTTGAAGTGAATGTACTGATCAGAAAGGGTAGGTGTCACGACTGCAATTAGGTGTATATCTCTTTAAATGATCTTCAATCGTTCTTTAAGTCTGATTGTTTATGTGGAGGGATTAACAACTTTAAAAAGCTTTGTACTGAGGGACCAATCATCATTCGGAAATATTATAAGTCTATGCCATATGTCCCACTCCCAGACGGTATCCCAGTCTCTCGTCAAATCGGTTGCATCAAACCACCCACTCATTTATTCAGTATGTAGTACCGCTGTAGCAAAGTTGTCCGTATGCACAAAAGCAAGGACCTCACTCAGCCAGCAAGTTGTTCCGCTGTGACATATATCACCGTCTACGGGTACAGAGACAAACGTCTCACTCAGCCAGAAAGTTGTTCCGCTGTGACATATGTTGCCGTCTACATGTACAGAGAAAACAGCTCTCTCAGCCAGCAAGTTGTTCCGCTGTGACATATATCGCCGCCAACAAGTACATTTTATTCAGCCAGCAAGTGTACATATCGCAGTAAATATGTTCCGATGACCCATCTATCAAATGGCATACAATCTTTTTACAGCAGTTACCAGCTTCCTTATGTCCAAGAGGAAGATTATTACCATCGGACTGAAGGTGATAATGATTCCAACACACCCCAGCGCTGTGGCCAAAGGTCGGCGGTCCTGGATGCTGTTCTTGGACCGAAACTTGGCACCGACGTTTCGGGTATCAACTGCCAAATGAGCTTTCAGTGCCGCTAGCTGTGAGTCACGTGTATCAGGCGGGCTTGCCTTGCTTCTGCATACACAGGATTTATTTGGACAGATTCTTCTCATTTCAGACTTGTTTGTTCCAGCTGGGCTCATGTTGGGCGTTATCGTGCCAGTTGCAGATGTGGGACCGCTTGGTGACTCGGGTGGTGTTTGGTCTGTGCTCCATGTTATAGTCGATATTGTGGTGTGAATGGTGTGAATCTCAGCTGATGCCGTGGTACCCTCCGTTGTCACGGATGACCGGTCTCTTTCCGTTGTCACGGATGTCTCGGCGCTGTTCATTGTCACGGATGATACATCACTTTCCGTTGTCACGGATGTCTCGGCGCTGTTCATTGTCACGGATGATACATCACTTTCCGTTGTCACGGATGTCTCGGCGCTGTTCATTGTCACGGATGATACATCACTTTCCGTTGTCACGAATGTCTCGGCGCTGTTATTTGTTGCGGATGATACATCACTTTCCGTTGTCACGGATGTCTCGGCGCTGTTCATTGTCACGGATGATACTTCTCTGTCCGTTGTTACGGAGGACTGATCCCTTTCCGTTGTCACAGATGACACTGCACTGGTCGTTGTTTCGGCTGACTGGTCACTTTCCGTTGTCACAGATGTCTCGTCACTCTTCGATGTGACCGATGCATGTGTGTCATTCTCCGTTGTCTTTTGAACTTTGTTTACTGCAACAGAACAAAGAACATCAGTCATGTGAATACAAGCCTTCGGGGCTGAGGTATGTTTTGCAAAAGATCCAAATAATTTCCCTGTTGGTTTTAGCCTTTATTGAACTCGATATGAACAACAGAAAGCTAGATATGAGTGTACCCAATGAGGGTCCATCACCGCTGTGTTAATGTTTTGTTTACAATACCAGGCGCTTGATTGTGGACGGACAAATTCCAAAACAGTTCGTAGACGTCCTACTGAAGACAACGAGCATGAAGAAATATTGAAACACAAAACCCTTTGTCAGTGGGACAGTTATATATTTTAGAAAAGAAATACCACACACCTGAAAAGTTACGGGAAACACAAGGCGCATCGTAACTGTAGACCGAAGTATTACTGATCCCATAAGCGTAGAGTCGGAATACCGTTGGTGACTGAAGAAAATGGATTCCTGGTTCCACCTCTGTTTGAAAGGAGAGTGTGCTGCTGGTGTTCAGGAGAACAATGATGTCACTTCCGTAGATGTCGACCTGGTCAAGTAGGAAGCTGGAGTCACAATCATCGCACTTTGTCTGAACAATGACGATAGTTGTGTTGAAGCCCTTGAATGCCACTAAGCTGTAGTTAAACTTGGCATACATGTTGAAAAGGGTCTGAAGAAAACTATTCTGTAAGCCATGTGTGTCCAGCGTATGTATCTTCACAGTTTGTACCACCATCCACGACGACTGAATACTTCGTTCAGTTTGCTCGACCGCTGGACCGATGTCCTTCCGGGCACCGTCTCTTCTAATTTCTTTGAATGTCGCATTGGTAAAGCTTTCATGGTTGATGGATACAGGGATATATGATGAGCTTTGTTGGGTTATGACAGGAATCTGTATGGTTTTAAGTAAAACACTAGAAGTGGATTTTCCACATTCAACTCCCGCATACACGGCAACTGGTTTATCAGGGTAGATAATAGTCCCGGATAAATCCATTTTGCTCGTAATGAGAAACGTCTCTCCTTTTCTCTCGATTCTCTCATAAAATGTATCACCATTGAACAATATCTTATTCGTATGTTCAAAGACTGCATGTGCATTATCGCCACGAATTGTTCCGTTGATCATGACGTCATCCACATAGGCAACCACCACTACATATGTACTACATGCAGGACCTGGGTCAGTGGTAGCGATCACGAAGCCTTTGGGTAGCAATTTATAAGCTGGTTTTCTCAACGCCGTGAAGGCGCCGCCCTGGGATGATTGTACATACACGTTGACAGGCTCTGTTGCATTTATATTCAACACCTTAAGGTTGGGTGCAGTTAGTCCCTCGGGTGCAGCGGTTGGTTGGTCTACTTTGAGGTACATGAAGGATGTAGTGGTGGAACTGTCGTTAGTTATCTCTATCTTCAATTCCCCATAGGGCTTGAGGGAAATATTTGCGGGTCCTATGATGACGATATTTGTGCTGTCATTAACAGGTGGAATGAAGACCATGAACTCGTCGCCCATGTGTTTACAGTGCCGTGTGCAGAGACCACCTGTCAATAATATACCACATTCCAGAAATCACGATAAAACAACAAAAGATGAAATGAAACAAGCTGAACAATTTAATTTTAATTTTTTTTATAACACTGTAACGTATTTTTACCAACATACAACATGCTACCTATACATTTGTGACGAGTCCTGAAGTTGTATTCTGATGTATCAGTGTGAGTGAGTGAGTTTGGTTTAACACCGCTTTGAACAGTATTCCAGTTATATCAAGGCGTGTCAGCTTGATGTGGGAGGAAAGCCCGAAGTGATGCAGGTCTCAGAAACCCATGACCACGTTTATGGTGCTGACAAACCGAAAAACATAATCAAGCGAACTGGGATTCGAACCCACGATCATAGGTTTCGGGCGTGCCGGATGCAAGCCAAATTGTGGCGCCTTAGACAACTGGCCCACCTGCGCCTCAACTATCCTTAAGATCGTAGATGATAATTACAAGTAATCCTTATGGCCACTAAGTAGTTGGAATATATACCTTTGAGAGCAACAAGTCATGGAAAATATCCCCAATCAGATTTATTCACTTTGTTTCGAGTGAGTGAGTGAGTGAGTGAGTTGGGTTTAACGTTGCTTTTAACAGTATTCCAGTTATATCGCGGCGTGTCAGCTTAATGTTGGAGGAAAGCCCCAAGTGATGACTATGCTTGTCGTAAGAGGCGACTAACAGGATCGGGTGGTCAGGCTCGCTGACTTGGTTGATGCATGTCATTGTATCTCAATTGCGTAGATCGATGCTCATTTTGTGAACCACTGGCTTGTCTGGTCAAGACTCGATTATTTACAGACCTCCGTCATATATCTGGAATATTGCTGTGGACTTTCCAGGTTTGTCAGCACCATACAAGTGTTCGTGGGTTTCACCGAAGTGGTAAACGTCTGAGACCTGCATCACTTCGGGCTTTCCTCCCACATTAAGCTGACACGCCGTGATATAACTAGAATACTGTTAAAAGCAACGTTAAACCAAACTCACTCACTCACTCACTCGAAACAAAGTGAATAGATCTGATTGGGGACATTTTCCATGACTTGTTGTTTTCAAAGGTATATATTCCAACTACTTAGTGGTCATAAGGACTACTTGCAATTATCATCTACGATCTTAAGGATAGTTGAAGCGCGGGTGGGCCAGTTGTCTATTGAGCCACAATTTGGCGTGTATTCCATCGGCACGCCTGAAACCTATGATCGTGGGTTCGAATCCCAGTGCGCTTGATTATGTTTTTCGGTTTGTTAAGCAAACTAACAAACAAAGAGGTTAGTCAAGGACAGTTTCAGTGATCAGACACTTGGTCCTAGCGAACTCGGGGTGTAAACTGCATCTCGCGGGACAAGTATACATTTCACTTAAGCTTATTTTTAATCACCTAAATATAACATGCACTTGGCCATGTTGATGGGCCTAACATAAACACTCATTACAAGTTCATTAAGATGATTAAGGAGTTCGCTGCCATTAACCAAAAGCTACCAAATCACACGCACTTTCAACATACTGATTGAACGACAAACCCCATAAAAACGTAAATGTAATTGGTACCTTCTCCTTGTCGCGGTGGCAGAAGACTCGAATCCCGCTTTTCTACTCACATTTGGCATCAAGAAGATCGATATCTGTCATTGCCAAAAGATCATAAAGAAACAGGCACGCTAATTGTCTTTCTCAAGCAAAGGCGCGTACAATTATTGGTACTGGTCGTGTCTGAAATGTTATTTTGGTATAATTGATACATATCTACACGCGTCATTAATGTGGTATTTGTAAATTTGTAAATATTTGCACGCCTGTCATAATGAACTGGTAGATGTCTACTCACTGGTCATAATCTATTGGTATAAAAAAGGTGTTTGTTGCCTGATGCAGCAAAGCAGTACTCCTTCCGGACCGCACCCATGAAGATTCCGGGGTAGAATAGGTCTTCAGCAACCCATGCTTGCCGTAAAAGGCGACTATGCTTGTCGTAAAAGGCGACTAACGGGATCGGGTGGTCGGGCTCGCTGACTTGGTTGATGCATGTCTTCAATCCCAATTGCGTGGATCGATGCTCATGATATCTGTTCCTAAATTAACCTATGCCTGATCTGTCACTGGATTGTCTGGTCCAGACTCGATTATTTACAGACCGCCGTCATATAGCTGGAATATTGCTGAGTGCGGCGTTAAACAACAAACCAAACCAACCGTACCGCAGTGGCCTGTAAATCGAGTCTTGACCAGACAATCAAGTGACAGATCAGGCATAGGTTATTTAAGGGACGGATCTCTGAAAATCAGTGTCGACACCAGGTGTTCGTGAGAAGTGTGAGCATGTCCCGCCCTGACGGTAGAACACGCCATTCACACAATTTACATACGAAAGTGTGTGTTTGCTGCGTGACGTCACACAGCTGTACTCCAGCCATGTGACGGCGGTCTGTTATCACTCAAGTCTTGACGAGACAATCAACTGACAGGGAAGCGCATTTACTGATTGTGGAACAAAAAGCCATATGAGCTGGACTTCTGCTGTTTACAAGTAAAGAGCAACGTTTAACACATCCAGAGTTATCGCCCTTGCAAGTATTTACAATCGGATTTGCTCGTTTAGGTTCACTAAACGGTATTGGATAGGTGGTTTCGAGGTAACAGAATCATAGCATTACATTCGCATTCGGCATGTCCAAGCCAAGAAGACGAAATTTGTAGATTATCTGTCAGTTGGATACAGAGGTCAAAATTGCCCATTCAGTAACCAATCATCCCTGCTGTGTGGATAGAGCACCTGTCCTGAGAGCGGCAGTTTTGGGGTTCGATCTACTGGCTGCTTCAAACCGAAAATACTTGAAAGATGGTACTTGTTGTTACCCAGCCTGGCGTTCGGCATTAACGAGATAAAACAAAGACTGGTCAGCTCGGAGTAACTAGAGTGTTCGTACACACACACACACACACACACACACACACACACACACACACACACACACACACACACACACACACACACACTCTCTCTCTCTCTCTCTCTCACTCACTCACACACACACACACACACACACACACACACACACACACACACACTCACACACTCACACTCACACTCACACACTCACACACATACACACACACGCACGCACATACACACATCGCTACATTAGTGTGGTAATCTACATTAGTGGGGTACCCCATTTCACCTCACATGCAATACTAATTTTGAACACATGTATGTCTATACACCTGTCATAAGATATTGTTACGACTTTACATATTTTCATCATTTACGTATATATAGCGGGGTACATGAATTTCATGTGCGGTCTTCCTCTGTATAATATAGCACTAGATATAGGGGGTAGTGAAATATATAACTCTATTAGAACAAAAGAAATACTTGATAACATGCATTTTAAGTAACAAAAAAACAAACATAATATTTCGTGTTATTATATCTAAATTTGGTGATCTCCAACGATTAGGAAATACTGCACTGAAGACGTCTTACGTGTGAGCCCTGTATGTCGCAGTGGATGAGGAATATTACTTTGTTTTGTCTACATACCTATCATGCTCTATTGATACATATCTACATACCTATCATGCTCGATTGATAAATGTCTAGTAGACATACCTATCATGCTCTATTGATAAATATCTATATACCTATCATGCTCTATTGATAAATATCTACATACCTATCATGCTCTATTGATACATATCTACATACCTATCATGCTCGATTGATAAATGTCTAGTAGACATACCTATCATGCTCTATTGATAAATATCTATATACCTATCATGCTCTATTGATAAATATCTACATACCTATCATGCTCGATTGATAAATATCTACATACCTATCATGCTATAATTGACTATACACCTATCATAATATAAATGGCAAGACACCTTTGATACTATAAATGTCAAGACACCTGTCATACTATAAATGACTATACACCTATCATCCTATAAATGTTAAGACACCTAACATAATAAAAATGACAACACAGATATCATACTATAAATGACTTCACACCTATCATACTATAAATGTAAGACACCTAACATAATATAAATGACAACACAGATATCATACTATAAATGTCTTCACACCTATCATACTATAGGTATCTACACACCTATCATACTATAAATGTTAAGACACCTATCATACTATAAATTACTTCACACCTATCATACTATAAATGACTTCACACCTATTATACTATAGGTATCTACACACCTATCATACTATAAGTATTAAGACACCTATCATACTATAAATGACTTCACACCTATCATACTTTAAATGACTTCACACCTATCATACTATAAATGACTTCACACCTATCATTCTATATCGGCATATGTTGACGTACCTGTCATGAGCATCAGACATATTTGGATGCCAGCATCTACACGGAGATGTTCCATGGCGCTGCCGTCAACGCCCCTCTGTTCTGACTGTTCTGGATCTTCTACTCTACATTCCTACACCCGTCATACGTTCTTTAAGCTATTCTCTATTTTGAATAGCACTGTCATAAGCGTTCCCGTTCGATCGTTGAAACTACATAAACATAGATGTAATATATTTTACTGTTTGTTTTGTTTAGCTAACGCATCGATTCGGAGCGTCAGTGTTTGAATCTTGATGTGTTAATATCAAGGATGTAGGTCTAATGACGAAGGATGAAAGCAGTTACTCTGTCCATGGAACAACGTAAAAACAGCACGACCAACAATGGCAGAAATGATTTGCAGTCATTATTCTTCATCGACTTTGAAATATATCATTTCAGTGATCTATGATACAATTGGTGTGACAGTGCTGCGGACATAACAACCTTATACAGGAATCACGTGTTTATAAGGGTCACAATAAGAGCGACAACACTTTATTGCAGGATGGTGTTTATTGCACAAGGTAATGAAAAACATTTCTATACATTTATAAATTAGCATGAAACAGAAACAGAACTTTATCGAAATGGA